TACCCCAGCCTCTTGCATGCTAAGATGATCACCATACCCAGCAGGCATTCAGTTTTTATTAAAGATAATAAATAAGTAAGTAAATAAACAAGTCAAGTTTTTTTCTGAAGGAAACTGGACTTTCATCATGCTTGGAAGATGTCATTCTCATTGTCCTTTCAGGTAGCCTTCAGGTACTAGACTTTGCCAGCTTATTTGCAAAGCTCCATCCAGAAAGATTACCAATGACCTTTGTAGTCCATCAGAATAGTCAGGGAACAATGTACTGGTTGCCATTCAATAAAACCCTTCTATGAGCATGACACTCATATACCCAGTCAGGACTACAGGTTATAAAGACAAAGTCCTGATTTAAACTTTCTTAAAAAAACAAACAAACAAAATGTTGAGGAAGAACAGTTTGCCAATGGAAGTGTCTCCATAGGCCTTGTTAAAACAGCCAAGGCTCAGACCTGGAGTAGTGCCTGTGTCTGTCTCTCCCAGGAGGCTAGCCTCCTTCCTTTAATGGAGAGCCTTGCTGCTGTCTAGCTTATCCTCACATCTTCCAGCTCTCCTTCCCAATTCTAGTTCTGGAAAAATCATAATTGGAGCATGGGACTGGTCTGCTCCTTTAACAAAGTCTGTAAAAAACACCGTGAGAGGGAACCTGCAGGTTTTGGGGTATATTGGGTCAACAATTCCAAAGATTTCATCTCCCAATCCCAGGATTCTTCCTAACAAAAACCTTTGGAAGGAGTGCTATTATTTCTGTTCTAGGAATGGTAAAGCTGTGACTCCTGGAAGCCAAGTGGCTTGACAGAGATCATATGGGTAAGGCCAAGCCTCCAACCTCAGGCTCTGGCTCCAGAGCACTTGCTTTTCATTCAGTACAGCATGTTTCTTTCCTGTGCAATAGAAAAGAGAGGGGAACCAGCAGATAGATGTCAAGGTAAAATAGTGATGGTGGCAAAATGGTGGGAAATCTGATTTTCTTTCCAGTAGCCTAAACCATACAAGATTTCCACACACACCACCCCAGACAGGGTTTCTCTGTGTAGCCCTAGCTTCCTGGAACCCACTCTGTAAGATCAGGCTGGTCTCAAACTCAGAGATGCGCCTGCCTCTGCCTTCCAAATGCTGGGATTAAAGGCGTGTGCCACCTCTGCCTGGCTTTTAAAAGATTTTTAAAAATGAACAGCAGCAACAAATGGTAGCAAATGGGATTTCAGTTTCCGAAGACTGCCTGTCAGGTCACTAGAAAGTGATATAATTCTCTGGTAAAGCTGACTGCCCAGTTATATCCATCTTCCAGCCAGAAGAGGTGCTGAGTGACCAAGAGCATTGCCATGGGGTCCAGCCCTTCCATCTACCCAGGTGACACATGGCTGGTCTGCAAAAAAGAAGCAGAAAGGGAAGGAAGAAAGTAGAGGCATCAGTGCCAGGTCCCTGCTGCTTCTCTCCTGGTATGGCCAGGATTCTGCTCAGAGTATACCTCAGGAGGCAGGACAGTTGAAAGCCATGAACTATAGTGTGTGGTGCATAGAAGCGCAAGGTACTGTAATGGCTTTTGCTGAGTCTTGGAAGCAAGCTCAGTGGGTCACTTGGTATCTCTGAGTACAGGTGTTGTGTTACCAAAGAGGGTCACAGTGGAAACTGCTGTCCAGTGATGATGCCCCAGGCTCAGGCTGCCACCACACTGGAGTGCTCCACTTAAAGACACCAGGCAGAGGAGAAGCGCAGAGTGATGGAAAGCAGACATTTTGGGTGTTTCGTTCTGTTTTTAATCTAGATGCAATTTGAAATGGGAAAGTGCCGTATTTAAATGATGTCCCGGAATGGAGTTAGAATCTTCCAGAGCATTTTCTGATTACCTGTGTCAGCTGTGCATGGTAGTGTTTTTGGTTTGGATTGGTTTTTCTTTTTAGAAGAACTATTGGTGGCCAGATTAGCAAACACTAGGACTAGTTGAGAAGGGACTTACTCTGTAGAGCGAATACTTCAGAGGAAACATTTCAACTCTGGAAAATGAATTACATTAACTTTCATGAGCTTCAGTACATTATTATAACAAGCAAAGGCTGAAAAAATATCTGGCAGACCGTTTATCTTTCTTGAAGTCTGTGAAATATAAGACTGTGTGAATCTTGTTTTCTGGAAAAGGAAAGCGATGCCTCTGCGAAAGCAGTCTGGAGAGGATGCAGGACAGGAGCTCCTTAGTGTATAACCTGTCCTTTTGTCTTTGGTTTTAAAGCTATAATTCCATCAGCATGTCAGTATAATATGGCATGCCTTAAACATCACAGAATGCCACACAAGCCATGCCCAGGAAGGAAAGTCCTTTTTGACAAGCTGTTGCCTGCAAGTCCTCTCTGGTATTCTGATATCATGACTCAAAAGCATGTTTAGAAGCCTCCAGTGAGTTTAGAGTGTACTGATCCCTTCCCTGTAGCAGCACCTTGGAGTTACCCAGGCAGATGCTACCAGTCTAAAGTGTGATGCTGTGACTGATGGTGAACCACTGCTTGTAGTTATACCTGAAATTAGAGGCATGGTAGACCACAGCACCCCGATGCAGAATAGTCTTAGCACTGCCACTCAATGCTAACAGTTTTAATTATTTGGCCAAGATTTGTTGAGTTTTAGCTATATGCTCTTGGTAAAGTGACCATATAACTTATCACCAGAACCAGTTTTATTTTAGTGTGTGTGTGTGTGTGTGTATTTTTGCCTATCACCTGGAACTGGAGTTACAGATAGTTGTGAGTTGCCATGCTCGTGCTGGGAATTGAACCTGGGTCCTCTGCAAGAGCATCCAGGGCTCAACTGCTGAGACCCACCAGACCCACCAGGGCCACTTTTGAGAGTAAGAGGGAACTATCCATAATTTTACTGACCCACACTATAACCCCTGAGCTCGGGGACAGAGGCAGAATCATAGTTTAAGGCCAATCTCAACTGCATAATGAGTCTATGTCTTAAAAATCCAGAGTAGGAGCTAGGGATATGGCTCAATCAGTAGTGTGGTTGCCTGGCATGCATGAGTGAAGTGCTGGGTTTGATCTCTAGAACTGCGTATTATAACTTGGTAGTAATTACATGTCTATTATCCTGACATTAGAGGCAGGAGGATTAGAAGTTCAGGGTCCTCCTAGGATCCATAGTGAGTTCTAGGGAAGCCTGAGTTCCATGAGATCATGTCCCAACAAAACAAAATAATGCAAGCCAACCTAAAATAATAACAAGAATAACTTTATTACTGTTACATGATACAGTCCCGTCACATAGTGGGACTATCCTAGCTAACCCCTAATGGATAATTGCCTTGAGTATTCATATCCTTGTATGTATAACTGATAGACAGCTATTAGTTCCAAAGTAAATCAAGAACTTTACAGAGGTCCTGAGTTCTATTCTGAATACTGAAAAAACAGAATTATAAAAACAATCATCTTCTACAATTATTCCAGAACTCCACAACCAGTTCCTCCCCCATCTGAACTGTTTGCATAGCAGAGTGTGCAAGCATCTCTCACTGAGAATTCCTCCACTCATTTTCTGCTGCTTTTTCACACTTCATCAGTCATAGCAAAAAAACTTACAGGAGGCAGTCTGTTGGAGTCTAACAAACCTTTTATTCCTTCCTCCCTCCCTCCCCCCCTTCCTTCCTTCCTTCCTAAAAGGTTTCCCTAAGTAGCTCAGGCTCACTTCCAACTCATGGCAATCCTGCTGCCTCAGATACCAAGTACTGAGATCATGGGCATGTGCTACCATGTCTAACTCAATCAGCCTTTCCTGTTAAGGGCCGGATGGTAAGTATTTTCATCTTTGTGGGCCATGTGATATTGTAGCTATTCCTTGCTGGCAGTATATGATGAAAATGAGAAAGTTAGGCTGTGTTCCCAAACCACATTATTTACCTACACAAGTGGCAGACAAATCTGGGTCATTGTTTGCCAGCCCAGCTTTGTATCACTCTCCTCACCATGTCATCACTGTCTGCTCTCCTCTCCCTATCTAGCTCCCTGTAATCTGCTTTTGTCACAGTTTCTAGCATCTTCTCTGGGTGGCAGTCCTCTGTCTTAATCCAGTGTAAGGAACAAGTGCTCTTTTTCACCTTCACACACTTGTTCGGTTTTGGTGACATTGTAGTCCTTGGTTTAGTCTGCTAATGGTGGTTTCTCTCTTGAAAGTTTGACACTGCCCTTTCTTCCTGACGGCTGGAATATATGGCTGGAACTGAGGAGCTCAGTTCTCTCCTCCTTTGCCTCGCCTTTCCTCTCCCCTCATACAGGCACCTAATCAGAATGCATTGAGTGACTGAAAAAGTGAATGAAACTCTCACTGGCATGACTGAACAGCTGTGGGTTATCACAAACCAGAGTCCATGAGCCCTCCACATGCGTTGCTGTAGCACTCACTCTTCCACCTCCCTTCCTATTGCAGGCGATGTGTGAGCTGTAACGTTTTTTTCGTGTGGCCCATCCATCTTTGTGGGGTTATTTCCTTAGAAACGTTTGCCTCACCACCACTAGCTTCAACAGCTCATATACACACTGAGAGACATATATGTGTCCTTTTGTTATCAGTAACATGTATAGTAATCACCAAGTAGAGGGATAGTTTAGTTCTAAATTGGAGCTTCATGCCCAGCATGGTAGCACATCCTTATAATCCCAGCACTGAGAAAGGCAGAGGCAGATTGCTGCAAGCTTGAGGTCAGCCTGGTCTACAGAGAGTTCTAGTCCAACCATGGCTACATAAGGCTCTGCTCAGAAAACCAAAAACTGAATTTAAATTTTATGAGGTAGATTACTAAAAGTTCTTAGAAATGGCTTGTGCTCATATAAGAGCTTTATTGCACTCTCCTATTTTGGTGCAGTGAAACTGTCCGTGCAAGAAAAACGAAATCAAGAGAGTTTCTGATCAAAATTTTCAGGACACTGGAATTGATTATAGTGTAGTGACTAGTGCTTACTCTCATTGCTTCTCTCTCTCTCTTTTTCCTACTTCTTTTATTCTAGGCACTCGAAGAGGCCCAGAAAGCCATTCAGCAGCTCTTTGGCAAAATCAAGGATATCAAAGATAAGGCAGAAAAGTCAGAACAAATGGTAAGTTTAGGTTTCTTCCTTATGTTTATGCACCAGAGTAGGAAGTTAGCTTCTCATCCCGTCACAGTGATTACCAGACTCTTCTTCCCGCTGCCTGCCAGTCGCAGTCATGCAGTCCTCTCTGTGAGTGCATCCCGGACTGCCTCAGAGGAGCTGCTAGACAGGGGTGACTCACTGGCCTTGCTGCCCTACACTTACAGCTGCTTTCAAATAGGAAACAATCTACCCACCCACCCCAACCCACCACAAATAGTTTCCTAGTCATTTTGGATACCTTTCTCTAGCATGTTTCTAGTCTGTGTTTCCCAGTTAAGGTGTCTGAGATATAATCAGGTAAGTAGCTCACTAACACTGGTCCGGATCTAGGGTGGTGCTACCACATCCAGGGCTGTATGCACACAGTATATGCATTAGTTCCCACTCTCCAAATTTGTAGGTGATGAGCTCAGAAGGTGCACTGCTGACCAGGAACCCAGCCTTCACCACAGCTGCTCCCCAGATCCTGAGTCATACAATGCAACTAAATGACAGTTTCCTCAACTATGAGGAAACTATGTGATCTCTGCTCAGAGATCACAGGATCGATGAGCAGAGTACCTAAGAATTTGCATTTTCTCAGGAGTACAGTGCACAGCACCAAGCAGTGTGATTATCAAGTGACACTAGTGAAGATGACATTTGCTAGAGTTTGTTGTACTTAACTTTGTTTGTTTTGAAACAGGGTTTTATTATGTAGCTCTGGCCTGAAACTCTGTGTAGATTAGGCTGGCCTCGAACTCACAGAGATCTACTTGTCTCTGCCTCTCAAACACTCAGCTGTTATACTCAGGTTTTATGCGCAGCAATAATGTCATGATTCTAAGCTGCTGTTCTGGACAATGCACTCTTTTCCAGCAAAGTGGGACATGATAGGGGAATTAATACTTAACAAAATCTCTCAAGATGCCAAGCACAATGCCAATTCCTTTATATAAGTAATTTGAGATAGCCCTCCTGACAACCTTGCAGTGAGATTTAGTGTCATTGCTGTTATTTTATTTATTTATTTTGTATCTACTCAATTTGTAGATGAGAAAACTGATACTCAACAAGAAAATTGGCCTGAGACACAGAGTGTGTAAGTGGCAGAGCTGAGATTCAGCCTTGTATTTGTCTGAATCTAAACCCACAATATCTTGCTCTGCCCTTTTTGTATGTCCATGAATGACCTTTGCAATTAATTTCAGCAATCTGTTTGACAGAATAGCCTTTTATACATTTGCCCTGAGCATCCCTTGCATGCCCTGCCATTAGAGGTTCTGTTTAGAGGGCTGGAGAGATGGCTCAGTGGTTAAGAGCACTGGCTGTTTTTCCAGAGGTCCTGAGTTCAATTCCCAATACCCACATGGCAGCTCACAACTACATGTAACTCCTAAAATCTTGACACCCTCACACAGACACACATGCAGGCAAAACACCAATGCATATACAATAAAAATAAGTCATTTTTAAAAAAGGTTCTGATTAGGGAATAGCAGGAAGTTCAGCTTGCCTAAAGCAACACAGGGTATGTGATACAAGATCCTGGGAATAAAAAGACCAGTAAGCTGTGGCACAGAGCCATGAGAAAGGATAGAATCAGAGGAAGAGGATCTGTTGGCTGTTGAATGCAGGGATGAGAAGAGGCATAGATGAGTAGTTTAAAACCAGTGGTTGGTTTGGAGAGATTGCTCAGCAGTTTAGAGCTGGTTGTTCTTTCAGAGGACCCCAATTTGAGTCTTTTTTTTTTTTTTTTTGGTTACTTGAGACAGGGTTTCTCTATGTAGCCCTGGCTATCTTGGAACTCACTGTGTAGACCAGGCTGGCCTCAAACTCAAGAGATCTGTCTGCCTCTGCCTCCCGAGTGCTGGGATTAAAGACATTCAATACCACTAAACCGCCCCAGTTTGATTCTTAACACCCACATGGAAGCTCACAACCATCTGTAGCTCCAGTTCCAGGGGATCTGATGTCCTTTCTAGACATACAAGTGGTACACAGACATACATGCAGGCAAAGTGTTCATATACGTAAGACAAACAAAACGGGGGTTAAAGCCTTCCAGACCAGAGCCAGGTGTGGTGTATGCAACTGTACATTCAGCACTGGGGAGGCTGAGCAGGACAATAAAGAGTTAAAGGTCTGCTGGAGAGATGGCTCAACATATAAGAGTGCTGCTCTTCCAGAGGACCTAGGTTCAATTCCCAGTACCCACATGGCAGCTTATAATTGCCAATAACTCCTATTTCAGGGGACCTGACACCTTCACCCAGACATACATGCAGGCAAAAAACTGAATGTGCATGAAATAAAAATAAATACAAATTTTTAAAAAAGAGATTTAAAGGTCTTGGCTGTTTGCTGAAGCTTTGTCTCAAAAATAAGAGTAGGACTGAAGTGAAGCAGCCCAGAAAGAGACACGGATTGCTTTCAAGAGATGGTAACCTCAGTATTGGAAGTGCATGGTCAGCTTACAGGGCCAGATGCATTTCTGGTATATTATGTCCTTTCATATCTTCTTTTGACCTGTACTCAATTTCTTTTCCTGTAGTGGTGATAGTGGTAGAACCCAGGGCCTTGTGCAGTAAAGGCTTATGGCTAAACAACAGAATTGTCGTTACCAGTTTATCTAGAGTGGTTAAACTAACAATTAGGTCACATGAGCTTAACTCACTATAGATTCTTCACCTCACTGAGACATGTATTTTCTAATGGTTAGAATATTTGGGATTGGGCCAGGCGTTGGTGGCACAAACCTTTAACCCCAGCACTCAGGAGGCAGAGACAGGCGGATCTCTGTGAGTTCGAGGCCAGCCTGGTTGGTCTACAGAGCGAGTGCCAAGATAGGCTCCAAAGCTACACAGAGAAACCCTGTATCAAAAAACCAAAACAAAAAAGAATCTTTGTGCTTGGCGTCTATGGAACTCCTTTCTTTTCAGGCTTCAGAAAGCCTGGGAAAACAAACCAAATTGCTATTAAAAAAGTTTCCCCTGGGCTGGCAAGATGACTCAGTAAGTAAAGATGCTTGCCACCAAGGCTAAGGGCCTGAGTTTGATCCCTGGGACTCACAAGATGGAAAATGATAACCAATTCCACAGGTTGTCCTTTGGCCTTCATATACACACACTGTGGCATGTACACACACACACACACACACACACACACACACACACACACACACATGTTTCTTGGTCATTGTAGACGCTAATAAAAGTCTTCACCTGTATGTTAGTGAAATGGAGACTGGGAGTGACTGGAAGACATTGTGTTCCCACATCATGCTTCATTCTCTCAACTCTTCCAGAACAACTGGCAGCTTTTGCTCCCCAGATTGCCCTTCTCTTAGGAGGTTACATGTTAAGCTTGCCAAGAGCACTGGATTTTTATCTTTTTTAAAAAATGTGAGCCAATCTTTTTTTTTTCTTTTTGGTCTTCAGATCAGGAATAAACTATAGCTTCATTAATAAAGACTGCCTCAATGAAACAAGCTGACTCTAGCATCTGTAGTGGCAGAAGGCACACTTCTGCAGAGGGATTTGCTGGACATGACTTCTCTACCCTTATGTTCAATGTTATGTTCTACCAGGAGCAAAAAATAAAGATTTCTTTCTCCGAAGGCTTTAATGACTCTAGGTATGAAATCTGAAGAGATGCCAAATTTAAAAACAAAACTTAAGCAAAAACTTTTTGAGATAGGTTTTGTTAGGTCATCCAAACTGGCCTTAAACTCAATGTGTAGCCCAGGCTGTCTATGAACTTGTGATCGTCATGGCTCAGCCTCTCCAGTGGTAGGTAGGATTATAGGCATATGCCACCACACCCAGCCCAAAAGAATGACTTTAAGAAAGGGGTCATTTACATGTGGTAGATCTAGACCAAAGGGACAGAGCTGGGTACACGGCTATAATCCCAGTGCTTGGGAAGCAGAGGCAGGAAGATTGCCACAAACCTTTAAGGCCAGCCTGGTTTACACAGCAGGTTCAAGGACAGCCACAGCTACATAGCAAGACCTTGTCTCAATAAAAAGAAAGAAGCTGAAGACTGGAGAGAGAGCTCAGCACTAAGAACACTTGCTGCTCTTGCAAGGGACCTAGTTTGGTTCCCAGCACCCACATCAGGCTGCTCACAACCATCTTAACTCCAGCTCCAGGGACCAGTGCCCTCTTCTGGCCTCCGTGGGCTCCAGTATGCACACATATACATAAAACAAGAAAGATAAATCTTTTTGTTTTTGCCCCCCTTCCCTTAAAAACAGGGTCTTTGTACCTAGCCCTGGCTGTCCTGGAACTCACTATGTAGAACAGGCTGGCTTAGAACTCACAGAGATCTGTCTACCTCTGCCTTGTAAGTAACTGGGATTAAAGACGTATATGTATCAACACACCCAGCCCAAAATATATCTTTAAAAAAGAGAAAGAAGCAAACAAAGCATAAGAGGAACTAATTGTAAATTATTTTAATTTTATATTGTGAGGATATTTTTGTTTTTTCCAGGGGCTAACTTGAGGTTATTTTAAATAATTTTATGTGTATGATTTTCTTATAGAGTGACTTGAAGGTGGGTTTACAGCTTTCTTACCCTTTCCCCCTTTTTTTCCTGTTGTTTTCAATGTTTAGGTGAAGGAAATCACTCGAGATATTAAGCAGTTAGACCATGCCAAGCGCCACCTGACCACCTCAATCACGACACTGAACCACCTGCACATGCTGGCTGGTGGGGTTGACTCCCTGGAGTAAGTAAGCAGTGTGTGAACTTTCTCAGGGGATCCATGGATAATGCTCCACAGAAGGACAATGACTTTGTTGAGTTACTCACTTCCTAGCCAAGCCAGCCTCACCATCCTGCCCCATTTTTGGAACATTAATCACGTGTTCAGTCACTTTTGGTGTTCACAGCTTAATAAAAGAGCTGGGGATGTAGCTCAGTGGCAGAGTGCCCACTCAATATTCCCAAAGCCCTGGGTTCCATCCCCAGCACTGCAAAAAACAACAAACATCTGCCTTAATAATAATAATAAAAAAAAGATGGACAGGTGACCTGAGGAGGTGACAGGAAGCCCATGAAAATGACCCTGAGAAATGGGTCGTTTGGAGTGATCTAGACCAGTTAAGTAAGACAGTGATTCAGCTCAGTCACTCCCTAGGGCCTCTGCTTTGGCAGTTCTCCTCCTTCTCTTGGGCTGAGTTGCACCTCACCAAAGAGACCATTTGTAAACAAATCTTTGATGTATCATTCAACCCACTTTTTTCTACAACCCATGTTTTCAAGATTGTAGCTTTCTGTTTAGCACATTTAGAAACAGTATTAAAAGAAGTTGCTGGTTGTTTACCATGAAGCAGTGATTCAAAGCCTCCTTCTCTAGCACTCCAGCTCCTGTCTGTGGGGGAGTTTCAGGCTGATTCCCCCACCCTAGTCATAGTGGAATTTCACATGTGGACAGACCAGACTTCACAGAAATGCAGATGTGGCAGGAATGGAGGATGCCCAGAAGGAAGGAGGAGGGGCGATATCATTCCTAGCCTCTGCTGGGTCTACCATGGGAAACAGAGGCTTCCTGGTCCATTGCAGGAGTGATCACCCAGGGCAGCTAGCCAGTGGGACCAGAAGAACCATCCTCCTTCCTTCCCACCAGGCATTTTGTATTAGCAGGTAGAGGTGTCAGTGAAGCACCATGGCTTGAACTTGAGCCTTTCCTTGAAATGTCTTGTAATGGAAGTCATGAATTACACATTTAAAGTGAAAGCAAACATCAGTGGAAAATTTAGACTAATAGTTTGTACTTCATTGCCACATATAAATGTTGATTTTATCCACATCTTTTACTTAAGCTTCGTGTTACCCTTAGCAGTGGGGCAGGTCGACATCTCTAATGCAGTCATTTGTCATTGGCTTAAAACTATAGATTACAGCTAACTTGAAATCACAAACAGTCACCCCCTTTGTATTCTTGAAAAATGGGTTGGTTCTCTTGTGTGCCACAATCCTCAGTGACATTTTATACAACGCTCCCTTAAAATCGTACTCCTCATGCAATGCCAACCCAAACCCTTAGTCCACCCATAGTCCCTCCTGCCACCCGATGAGCATCCAGCACACACATTCTTTTGTGCCCCATGGCTTATAACTTACATTGCTATTTAAAACTTAGTTTACCTTCCTTGCTATTAGGTAAACACTTACTCGACTCTCCCTTACTGAACAATGTCACCTGGAAAGTTGAAGATAAATCCTTATGTTTTTCCTCCCCCAGTACTCAGCACCATACATAGTCAGCACTTGGGAAGTTTTATTAAATCTGGCTGCTTCCTGTTTCAGAGCTACTCAAGTCATTCCACACCTCCATCTGTGTCTTTAGTGTTTGGTTTCTAGTTCTCAATTTCTGTGCTCGCAGAGCCATGACCAGGCGCAGACAGTACGGAGAAGTTGCTAATCTCCTTCAGGGCGTAATGAATGTTCTGGAGCACTTTCACAAGTACATGGGAATTCCACAGATCCGACAGCTTTCTGAAAGGTAAGAGGTCCTCACTTTGAAACTTGCTCTGTAGACCAAGCTGGACTTGAACTCAGAGATCTGCCTACCTCTGTCTCCTGAGTGCTGGGGTTAAAGACGTGTGCCACCATTTCTTTCTTGGAATAATCTCTGTGATTTGTTTCCTCTGTTCTCTCTTTGTGGAACTTCTACCACATGACTACTGTAACTTGTAATCTGCCGCACACTGCTTCTTTCTAATTCTCTACCTCATCCTTTGGGGCTGCTTTCTTAATCATTGGCTCTGTCTTCCTTACCTCATTCTTCACTGGTGCCCATTCTGTTAAATGTTTTATTTAACAATACACTTTTTTAATTTTGAGACTATCTAGATGCTTCTTTCCTCAGGGACATAATAATATCCTCTGAAATCTCTCAGAGATTCAAAACTCTTAAGTCTTTGTAGGTGCTGAGTTGCTGGGTTTCTGTCTGTCCTGTGGTGTAAGGTCTTCAGTTTGTTGACTGTCTTGGTAGTAGCACTCTTCAAATGATCTTGTTTGTTTGTTTATTTATTTATTTATTTGTTGGTTGGTTGTTTTTTCGAGACAGGGTTTCTCTGTGTAACAGCTCTCACTGTCTCAGAACTCTGTAGACCAGGCTGGCCTCCAACTCAGAGATCTGCCTGCCTCTGCATCCTGACTGCTGGGGTTAAAAGTGTGGGCAACCCACCACTGCTTGGACTTTTTTTTTTTTTTTTTTAATGTTCTTGATACTCTGATCAGAAATCACTGCCATCTGCTACTAGGGAGAGGAGGGATGCAGTAACCTTCTAAGGTTACTGAGGCCAAACCTGCAAGAGCAGGCAGATGGTAGGCCAGAGGCAACCCTTGGGCCACTGCTGTGGCCCATAGATTCAAGGGGCCAAATCTGTGTCTGACTGAGCATTTAGAGTAAGGATGCAGACACAGCTCCTGGCATCCACATTACTGTGATTTGAGCCAAAAAGATACTTCTAGAGGTTACCTTCAGAACTCTCTACTGCTCCTGGTATCTACCACTTCTTTTCTTTATATTTTCTTTGGTTTTAGATTTATTTTTTTTATTTTATGTGTGTGAGTATTTTGCCTTCATCTATGTGTATGCACCATGTGTGTGTCTGCTACCTGTGTTGGTCAGAAGAAGGCTTTGAATTCTCTGGAATTAGTTATAGTAGTTGTGAGCCACTATGTGGGTATTGGAAACTGAACCCAGGTTCTCTGCAAGAGCAACAAAGTGCTTTTAACTGCTGAGCCATCTCTCCAGCCTCTGTGTCTTTTCATTCTTGAGTCACACTCTTAGGCTTTGATTTTCTTCTTTAGTCTTGTTCTATCAGGAAACCCACAGACTGTTTAGTCTATGAACCCCTTTCTTGCCTGTCTTTTGACTTCTATATAAATCTTTTCATAATTTCTAGGAATATGAGGCAGGAAGGGGAGGTTGCTGCATATGCTAGGTATACCGTTGTGCAGTGGAGACGTCCAGGGATTGTTAAGGAATGTCGGAATAGGTTTGGCAAAGTGCTAGGGAAATCACCACCCTTCCCCGAGTCCTTCCTAACCCCTTTACACTTAGAGGTGGCTGGTTGCCATATCAGACTGGGAATGTCCACAAGCAAAAAGGACCCATGGGTGGGGAAGGCAGGCCTGCTCTCAGTGGAAGGGAGGAGCAGGAAAGTAGCACAACCTTCTCTAGTCTTGGGGTGACTCAGAGTGATCTGCTGCCATTCTTTTATTCTTTCTGTCATCTACCCAGCATACATGTACTGTGTACCTTCTGTAGCCGAGGCCCTGCAGATGCTAAGCACATGCTCTTCCACTGAACTACAGCCTCAGCCCTATCAGCACCCCCTCCCCCCAATTTTCTAATCCAAAGTTAGAGTAACATGGCAGTGCAGGTCAATAGACATAGAGAGCAGCTGTATTAGACTTTAGATTCTAAGAGTCTGCACCTAAGAGAGATCACAGCATATTTATCTTTCTGTGTCTGGCTTATTTCATTTACTCTAAGTCTCCAGGTTTACCTATATTGTTGCAGATGTCAGCATCTTCTTTTAAAAAGCTGAATAAAATCACACTGCATACACACACCAGGCTCTTTAACCCATATCTGTCCATCAAAAGACACGTTTGTGTATATATCTTGGCTGTTGCAACCTTACTGCTGTTAGTAGGGCAGGGCAGCTATCTGTAAAGAGTGCAGATTTCATCTCTGGGTATACACCCTGTGTAGATTCATTTGGGAGTTTTTGAGGACTTCATATCATTTTCCATAATAGCCTCACCACCTATCATCTCTGCCAGTGGTATCCAAGTGTTCTCATTCCACACTCTCACCAACACTCACCATTTCTCCATTTGAGATTAGTCATCCTGGTAACCTATGATCTCAGGTTTGGAGGCAGAGATGGGAGGGTCAGGAATTTGCTACAAGTGAGACTTTATCTCAGTGAGGCTTGGTTTTCTTAGATTTATTTGTATGTGTATGTCTGTATGAGTGTGTATGCACATGCATATGTGGGTTCTTGTTGGATCCCTTGGAACTGGAATTAATGGTGCTTGTGAACCACCCAGCATGGGTGCTGGTGTCTGAACTCGGTCTCATGATTGAGCAGCAAGTGCTCTCAACCACTGAGCTGTCTCCCCAGCTCCTCATTGGTTTTATTTTTTTTTATTTATTTACTTATTTATTCATTTGGTTATTTTTGTTTTTGAGGCAGGGTCTCTCTCTATAGTCTAACCAGGAACTCACTTTGTAGACCAGGCTGACCTCAAACTCACACAGATTTGCCTGCCTGTGCTTCCCGGGAGCTGGGATTAAATGTGTGAACCACCACACCTGGCTTCCTTTTTGGGACTTTGATTTGCACACCTCTGGAGATGAAGTAATGTTGAACATTTTTTCATATGCCCTGTTGATTTTTTTATGTCTGCCTTGAAAAAAAATGCCTATTTAGATCCTTTGCCTGGTTGTAAAAATTACGTTTATTTTATTTTGGGGGTGGTGGTGTTTGTGAGTCACAGCATGCAAATGTAGGCCAGAGGACAACTTTTGGTAGTCAGTTCTCTTCTTCCATCACATGAGTTCTTTGAGTGAAACTCAAATCCTCGGGTTTGGTGGCAGATACCTTTTCCTAAGTGTCTCACTTGCCTCTTTGTCTGGGTTTGTCTCTCCTTTCCTTTCCTTTCCTTTCCTTTCCTTTCCTTTCCTTTCCATTCCTCTCCTCTCCTCTCCTCTCCTCCCCTCCCCTCCCCTCCCCCTCCCTCCCTCCCTCCTTTCTTTCCTTCTTTTTCCCCTTTCTTATTTTAGACAGGGTCTTGGGTATCCCAGGATAGTCTCCATGTAACTGAACATGATGTTAAATTTCTGTCCTCCTGCCAACACTTTCTGAGACTACAGTCATGTGCTCCCATGCTAGGTTAGGAAGTACTGTAGCCTGACCCCAGGAGTGACTAGCTAGTCAAGTGTTCCACCAACCAAATATATCCCTGGCCTCATTTGTTGTTTTTATTTTGTTGTATCCAAGCTCTTTATGTATTTTGGATGCTAGCCTTAGTAAGCTGTATAGTTCCTAATATTTTCTCCTGATTTATAGGTAGGCTGCCCTTTTATTTTGTGGATTGTTCCCCTTGCTTTACACAAGCTCTCTTTAGCTTACCTTTTTTTTTTTTTTTTTTTTTTTTGGCCTGTGTTCTTGGTGTGCCATTTGCTTTTTCTTTTCTTTTTTTTCTTTTTCTTTCTTTCTTCTTCTTCTTCTTCTTCTTCTTCTTCTTCTTCTTCTTCTTCTTCTTCTTCTTCTTCTTCTTCTTCTTCTTCTATTTCTAGGCAGGGTTTCTTTGTGTTATAGTCCTGGCTGTCCTGGAACTCTGTAGACCAGGCTGTCCTCGAACTCACAGAGCTCTGCCTGTCTATGCCTCTTGAGTGCTGGGATTAAAAGTGTGTGGCACCAGTATCCCGCTATTTGCTTTTTCAAAAAAAAAATTTTTTTTTTTAGGCTAGAAAGTTGTCTCAGTGGTTAAGAGCATTTGTTGCTCTTTCAGAGGACCTACATTCAGTTCCCAGCACCCATATGGCAACTTATAACCTCTGAGGAGACCAAGCATGCATTTGGTGCAGAGACACATGCAAAAAAAGAAGGTAGGGGGGGGAGAAAGTCATCCATACACACACAATAATAAACTAAATAAATCTTTAATTTCTCAAAGGTATAGTTTTATAAATCTGAAGAAACTTAGTGAGCAGTTAGAGTGGCATTCTCTTAAAGCAGTGGTTTTCAACCTTCCTAATGCTGCAACCCTTTAATACAATTCTGCATATTGTGGTGACCCCACCCATAAAATTAGTTCCTTGCTACTTCATAACTGTAATTTTGTTGTTGTTATAAATTGTAATATAAATATATGTGTTTTCCAATGGTGTTAAGCAACCCCAGTGAAAGGGGTTGTTCGACAACCCCCAAGGGGTCTCGCCACACAGTTTGAGAACCATGTCTTAAGGAGAGGGAGGGAGGGGAGAGAGGAGCCCTATATTCCACTGTATCTGTCAGCCCTGCAAACATTTGTTACTACTGGCTGAACTTGCTCTTAGTATAACCTGTGTGTGTGATACTTCTGTCAGTGCAGCAAGTCCTAGTCTGCAACTCTGAAAGGGATGTGGTGCAAGAGCTGCTTATTTGCAGTGCTCCACTGATACCAGTTTTCAAAGAGGTGCTAAAATTTTGAGCAAAGTCCAGACTTCCTATTTTTAGCATCATTTCTGGTGAATTGTCCTCCCTTAGGTTTGTATAGTGATGGTAGACCCATCTGGAAATAATAGAAATAGCTGTTTGTTCGGGGGAGGAAAGAAAGCTGAGAGTAAGTTGCCCTGTGCTTTGCTCACTGTAATGCCTTGCTGTCTATAAATTGCACAAGTCATATGCAAGATTGCATTCTCAAGTCTTTGCCTGTACATTTGAAATATGAAGTTCATGGGTCTTGATTTGCTATTTCTTTCAACTACCCTTCTGGCAAATGCCTAAATATTTAATGTTGCATTGAAGGAAAGATTTTTTTCTTTAGTATCTTTACATTTCAAATCCTCATAGCTTAAGCATATCCATGAGAGCAAATGCTTCCAGTCAGTCAGTATTTCTGAGAAAGAACAGGAGATTCTTGCAGTTCTTAAAAAAACAAAGCAAAACCTTGGAACCCTTAAATCTCCCACCCCCTCCCAGCTATGTCTAACCTCTTACATGTGAGAGAAGTCACATGCTGTGGTGAGAGAAAAAAAAAAGAAAAGAATGGAGAGGTCTGATTAGCCATTTGACAAGTTCTGTCTAGGATGCCTCTGATTGAGCTGTGAGAGCCACATTCAGTGATCTCAGAGCCTCCCACCAAGGCCCTCAAACTTTAGGTTAAGGTTCTTGGTAGCACCTATGTGTTATATATATGTGTTATATAGCATTTACTAATCCCTTCCATTCAGTGAAGGCATTATGTGGGAGGTCAGTACACATATTTCAGAGCAGTGGAAGGTAATTTCTTTGGATTGTCACAGATAATATGTCCTGGTATTTTTCTATAAAACTCCAGTTTCCTACTTTCTGTCCTTCTGCCGCCACTTCTTATGAGTGATGTTATATTTAGAGAAGGGCACCTTTAGACAACCCTGTGGTCATGTGGCGTGAAGGATGTCAGAGGACTTACTGATTTCTAGACAACAGGATGTTTCATTTCCTGGTAGTAACCAACTTTAGGTAGCTATCACACAACAGACTAAGTTTACTTGGATGCCAGGAAGAACTTTATTGTTTGTTTGTGTTTGAAACAGGGTCTTTCTCTATAGCCCTAGCTATCATGAACTCAACAGATCCACCTACCTCTGCCTCCTGAGTGCTGGGAGTAAAGGTGTTCGCCACCACATTCAGCTGTTGGAAGGAACTTTTAATCCTTCCTGCTCCACATTAGTTGGTAGGCTGATGGTAAGTCTACCAACTTATTTCTAGGATCCTGTTTAGACAATTGATTGTTAGTTTCTGTTACTGTGAGGAAATAACAATGAAAAAAATTTAAAAGAGGTAATGATTGCTGTACTAAAATCCTTTGTGAAAACTCCTTCCTAAAAAAAAAAAAAAAAAAAAAGTAAAGCTTATTTTGGTTCATGGTTTCAATCCATGGTCACTGACTATGTTGCTGCTTCTGAGCAATATAGATAAAGCAGAGTATCATGTAGGGAGCACATGGCAGAGCAGAGTGGCTTACCTCGGGCAGACATGAGGCCAGGAAAAATATAGCAAGGATTTGAGGACAAAATACACCTTCTATGTGAGCCAGTAAGATGGCTCAGTGGGTCAAGATGCCTATTATCAAGCCCGACAACCCAGTTCAATCCTTGGGACACATATGATAGAAGGAGAGAATTGACTCCTGCAAGTTTTCCTCTGACTTTACAAACACACACACACACACACACACACACACACACACACACACACACTCCTTCTAGGGCACTGCCCATCCCAACTAGTGATCTACTTCTTCAGACCATGCCCGTTTCCTTGTTCCATCATTTCCCAATAACCCCATCAATGATGAATCTGCCATCGGATTAGTCCATTGGTGAAGTCCATCCTCGTGGTCTAGTCACCTCTCAGTAGCACTTCCTGAAGACCAAGCCCTCAACAAAGGAGGCTTTGGGGGAATAGTTCATAAACTGTAACCATTATTATAGAAGCTATGGCTCACATCTCACCCAGAGAATGCCTGTGAATGTGATCTATCTTTGTCAGTAATGTCTCCCAGGGAATAGCTACTCTTTCATCTCAGTCACTGGGAGGCAGCCACTGCTGTAAACAGTTTTAGGCAGAAGCTTTTTTTTTTCTCTCATATTGACTCCCTCTTGCCACCACTTGTAAAGGTGAGTACTATTTGCCCACTAAAACTGTAAGCTGGGTGTTGAGAGTGTTGAGAAATAATCAGTACTGGAAACACATTGAAGTCCTTTAGCACAGGCCTCCTTTATGTGTATCTGTGAGTACCCTCAGAGGCCGGATATTGAATCCCCTGTAATTGTAGTTACAGATGGTTGAATCACCTAGTATGGGTCCTAGGAACCAACTAAGTCTATCTGGTTTCAAAGGTGACTTTGAACCTTACAAGCGGGAGCCTGGTAATTCTCTTTCTTTAGTACTCCAGTGCCAAGACCCATCATATACTTTGGTTGTCTTTCCAGCCAGCATAATGTTAGGATCAGCAAGCACATAGAGGTTGGGAATTGTAATAGAGTAGTGTGGAGGTAACAGAGGCAGAACTGAGCCCAGCAGCTTCATTGAGGCGTCAGTGGCCCTGACCGTGCATACCTCTGGTCAGGGGTGGGCCTCACCTACACCATTTTTCCCATGGCTCAGGGAAAAACTGCTGTTGCCTTTGTGTTTCCAAGAAGAGGGTCAGAACAGAGGGACTCGAACATCTGGATCTCTGCCTTGTGACCTGGCCCCATAGTAGATAGGGGAGTGGCAAGATGCTCTGAGGGACAATTTTATGAAAGGACATTCTTTTCTCTCACATCAGACTTTACACTCCGGAAGTTTCCAGATGTCTTTTGGGCAACTCCAGGTGGGGGTGGGATGGATTCCATTGTAGCCTTATCTTGAACACAAACTTAGAAGAATATAAACTTACCTGTAAGAATGGTTTGGAGCATTTGAAGACAGTGGAAAAACCCTGGAAAGTATTTGGAATCAGGCATGAATATAACTATGCCACAGGAAGAAACTGAGTGTTCTGGGTCATGCCTATGCTCTTGTTAAAAAAACAAAATCTAAAGCACTTGCCAGGTTCTCCTCAGTAGCCAAAGAAATTGTGGTTTTAGGTTATTCACTATTTCTAGAAACTTTATAAAATCAATCCAGAAGTTGCAGGGTGGAGTCCAAGAAAGGAGGCAGGCTGCTTCGTGGTGCTTTTGGCAAAGCAAGTCTTGACGTCATGCTCAGGGAAGTCCACCAGCTGCCCAGGAGCCTTGCTCCCTAGCTCTGTGCCTGGCTGGGACAAGCCAGGTATCACCAGCTGAGCAGCTGGTGGGGACAAGGAGAACATAAACGTGGCACTTGCTGGTGTGCACTTCCTGTTTCATCCTAGCTGCTTCTCTTTTCTCCTCTTTCAGTCAAGCTGAATATTTCTTGAGCATCTCGTATTCCTGCAGATGTCATTAAGAGCCAGCCCACCCCCACCCTACTGTCCTTCTCCATGGTTTTCCTTACAGTTGAGTCTTTCATTCAACATTCTCTTGAAGCTAAATCTTCATCCAATATCCATCACTCGTTTTGCCTATCTTTTCTTGGTTTGCTTTCTGAGACATGATCTTGAAGTGCAATTCAGTCTGGCTTTGAACTTGTGACCCTCCTGTCTCTACTTTTTCAGTGCTGGGATTACAAATAATGCCTTTCGGTCTTAAAAAATAGTTCATTGATCATCTGGCTCTTTTTTCTTTTTCCTTAGAGAACATTCTTTTTGTTACTTGTTTTAAATGTTTTTTTTCTGAATTAAAATATTATAAAAAGCAAATATAAAACCACCCTGAAACAGTCTGAACTACTCTTCTAGCTCTGTATCCCATAGAATGGGAAACAGTTGTTTCAGTAATCCAACAGATTTGTGTTTGATCGGGGCGCTGTTACATAATATTTCTCTGCAGTATAACCACCCCCAAATGAAATTTTGAAAAGATCAACATATATAATTCATAGTAGGTAAAGGTGACCTAGAACTGTATCCTGAAGGGCTGAGAATATAGCTCATTGGCAGAGCACGTGCCTCTTAGGCCCAAGGTCATAGGTTCAATAATCCTTAGCACTGCAAACCAACAAACAAACAAAACCAATAAGACAGTCCATCCTGAGATGCCTGCATCCAAGTTCTAGCCCTGCTTCTGTGTGACCTCTCTTACATACATCCCTTTTCCTTCTTGAGTGATCACCTGCACAGTGTGAGAGACTTCAAAAGTTCCTGACCCTGTGAATCCATGGTGTGCAGGGATTTGAAAATGATGCCACTCATTAATGCAGTCCCTTTCCTCCTAGGGTGAAGGCTGCACAGACTGAGTTAGGACAGCAGATCCTGGCTGATTTTGAAGAGGCGTTTCCCTCACAGGGTACCAAGGTACTAGCTTCCGTTTTCCCTCCAATCTTTAGGTATTATCACTGTCCTCATACTCCATTCAGTGAGTATGAGATACATGAGTGGTGATTTATGTTGTACCACTCCAGAAGTGTTGACTGGCACAGGCCAACTGTCTATGAATCAGACTAGCCTCTGTTTTAAGTGTTATGATGCAATGCTGATTGTTTATCTGTGTCCTTCCAGCCTTAGAAAGAGGACTTGGGTCAGGAGTGTGATTTGGTTGGTAGAGTACCTACCTAAGCATGTTTGAGGCCTGAGTTTGATCATTAGCCCCACATAAATTGGATGTGGTGATGCATGTCTGTAATCTAAGCCCTAGAAAGAGGGAGGCAAGAGAATCAGAAGTTCAAGTTCATCCTGACCTATATACAGGGTTTGAGGCTAGCCTGGGCTACATGAGACCCTCCCTCTGGGAGGAAAAATGAGGATTCATTTGGTTTAGTTTAATGTATGTCACATCTTGCATTTTGTCTGCCTTATAAACTCACTTTTTTTTTCTCTCATAGCTGTGTTTAAAAGAAAAATCTTCAAACCACAATGTTTTTTAGGATTGTTACATAACACTGGTTTTGGTTTGGTCAAAAGACAACCGGGATGCATGTCTAGGAGCTTATGTAACTCAGGGCACAGTTCAGAGACTTGATTTTAGTGGTGGGAATCCTCTTCTCTGGGATCCTCGAGCTCGCTGGTGGTGGGGCTGTCTTTGAGGCCTTCGCTTTCGCTTGGGAGCTGTTGGGTGCATGTCTCTCACACAGGCGTCACTCCCTGACTGTCATTGCGCTGGTAAACTGCTATTAGTTCCGTCCTTCACATTGCAGCAGATGTCATCTTAATGCTTTGCATGTGTCGGGGAAGGCAGAAGCCGCAGAAGCTTGTTTTCTCTATTATTTGAGCTATTTCAAGAGAAAGCGTTGTTGAAGGCAGAAGCAAAGCCGAGCACATGGACAGCAGCATTCCTCACTGGGCCCTGTGGGTGGAGATGGGGATGGATATACATTCACTTGTGAGCCAAGGAGCATTTCCTGCATTTGCTGTATAATTCAATAACTGGAAATATCTTAATCACTTTTCCTTTGTGCTTTGTATTAGGAAGTAGGTGGGGATGGCAGCCCTGGCTTTGACAGATTGCTTTCTGTAGGCGACCGGCTCCTAACCTTAATGCCTTGATGTTTTTCAGCTGACTGCCAGGAATCTGATATTCATTGGTGAAGTACTTTGCTTTGAGAACTGCATCTTTTAGTCACCTGATGTAACACAGGAAAGGCATAGATTGGAAAGCCATTATTCCTGTTGGCCCTCTGAGGAAAATGAAGTTCTCAGAAGCAAAAAGGGATTGCCTGGCTAGTGGCTGCTTTTAAAGGCTAGTGGCTGGTTGTAAACAGCCATCTTCCTAGGCACTTGCTTTCCAGTGTTCTCTAGCCCATTCCATTGCATGAGGTTTCAGAAGGATGTGGGTGAAGGCTATCGGTACTATTTGCCTATCATCTAATCATGGCCTACTTCCTGCCTTTTCCCCAGGTCCCAGTGGGCATATGAAGTTAAAAGGGTTTAATGACCTGACTTCCTTTTCTGGATGTTACTTAATGAGATATTATTAAGAGATTTTTTTTCCTTCTTAAAAGGCTATTGATTTTTCTAAAAGGCCTTGTGGTTACTAATCCTGTTTTGCAAATTGGAACCAAATTTTTTTATTAAAGTATCAATTAGTGAGTATGCCTATCACCCCAGCCAGCATCCTAGAGATTGAGGCAGGAGGATCATGAGTTAGCTCAGACTACATAGTATGTTCTAGGCCAGTCTGGGCTACACAGAAAATATCCTGTCTGAAGAAAAAATTAATTAAAATTATAAAATGAAGTATCCAAATGAGAATGGCCCCCATTGGCTCATGTGTTTGAATACTGGTCCCCAGTTGGTGGATTAGGAGGTATGGCCTTGTTTGAGGAGGTGTGCCCACT